ACCTCTGTCTGACCTATGCTGATTGGCCCCTTTGCTGAACACATGCACTCTCCCAGAAAAGAAAAACCTTTCTAGCAATACACACCCTACTGAGCATGTGCAAAATGCCTACCATTCAGTCTGTCTTATCAAGAGATAAGAGGTGGTCTTACACAAGGGGAGGAACAGAGCAATCAGGAACAAACAGCCTATTTACACAATGCAGAAGATTAACCCCTTAGGTTCCACAGTGAGTATAACAGGAATGCTTTACTGCATCTACAGACTGATTTTGTACTGTTGTGGGTTTAGTATCACCTTAAAGAGTCTGAGGCCTGAGACAGCAGTGCAGAGTTCCTGGGTCCAGTCCTGTAGGAGGAGACCCTTGTGCAGGAGGCTCTGCTCCTGGGGTAGAATACTGGAAGCAGGGGCGGACTGACAACTCATGGGGCCCCCGGGCAATAGGGGATCATGGGGCCCCTGTGTCCTTGCCCAAACTCAAAAAAGCCTACGAAAAAGTACCAGGTGGCATCTCATGGGGCCCCCTACTGACCCCGGGCCCTCGGGCAGTGCCCGAGTTTCCAAATGGTCAGTCCGCACCCTGACTGGAAGGATCAATCAGGAGGACACCGTGGTCCAAGCTAAGCTTAGATGGGGGGGGGGGTCTATTTGCACACTTAAAGTCCTGGAATAAATTTTAGTCTGGAGAAGCTCACTGGAGAGAGGCCAGAGGACGTGGTGGGAAAACAGTCCAGCTGTCCTATGGTGGTGTTAGCAGGGGCGTATGTACCACAAGGCAAACAAGGCATTTGCCTAGGGCGGCATTTTTTAGGGGGGGCAGCATTGCTCCCTGGAAGAAGGGACATATTGCGGATCAGGGACAGGTGGGATCTGAGAGAGGCTGTGGGCTGCTTGATGGTGTATGCAGAGTCCACCTGCCGTTCCCGGGGATGTCCTAAGCTGTGAAGGTGAGTATCTCCCTCTCTCTGTTGCCCTGTGGGGGGGGTATTAGTGGAAGCTCTCACAGGTGGGGTGTTGTTGATCACTGTCAGGCTCTCTCCATGCGGGGGGGGGATGTCTGGTGTTTGTTGGTGTTAGGCTCTCTCCACACGGGGGGGGGGGGATGATGTCTGGTGTTTGTTGGTGTTAGGCTCTCTCCACACGGGGGGGGGATGTCTGGTGTTTGTTGGTGTCAGGCTCTCTCCATGCGGGGGGGGGGGGATGTCTGGTGTTTGTTGGTGTCAGGCTCTCTCCATGGGGGGGGGGGGGGATGTCTGGTGTTTGTTGGTGTCAGGCTCTCTCCATGCGGGGGGGGATGTGATCAGCTGTGATTGGACACAGCTGATCACATGACCGAGCCGACATCTTCGGCTCTTTCCATTGATCGATGGTGCTCTGTGTCCGAGGGACATAGCACACCGCCGATCGGCACGCTTCGCATCCTCCCAGAATGAGAGAACCGCCTTGCGCCCGTCATTACCTTATATGACGGGCGGGAGGCGGTTGAATAATGGCAACACTATTGCTGAACCGATCGGCCTTAACGAAAATGAAAAAATGATTCCGGTCAAATAAGTGCGAGAGGTAAAGTGGTCACAAATTATTTATTTATTTCAGGTACTTATATAGAGCTGTCATTTTACGCCGCGCTTTACATATATATTGTACATTCACATCAGTCCCTAACCCTCAAGGGGTGTACAATCTAAGGTCCCTAACCCTCAAGGGGTGTACAATCTAAGGTCCCTAACCCTCAAGGAGCGTACAATCTAAGGTCCCTAACCCTCAAGGGGCGTACAATCTAAGGTCCCTAACTTACATTCATACATACACATACTAGGGACAATTTAGACAGGAGCCAATTCACCGACCAGCATGTCTTTGGAATGTGGGAAGAAACCGGAGTACCTGGAGTAAAACTCACGCAGTCACAGGGAGAACATGCAAACTCCAGGCTGGTGGTGGTGTGGCTGGGATTCAAACCAACAACCCTAGTACTGCCAGGCGAAAGTGCTAACCATTCAGCCACAGTGCTGGTAAATGTCCCCTCATTACCAGAAATAAGCCCCCTTTTCCAGAGCCCAGATGCATGCTTACCTCGACGTGACATCTCTGAACGTTTATCACAACAGGGGAGAAATTTCGGAGTGCGGGATGTAAACAGCCCCGGGTTACGGCGCTTATTCTTTAAAATAACGTCGTTGGAATTGTTCGGCATGTCTGCTTTAAGGAAGTCAGCGTTTGCATATTCATCGGAGACAACGCGGCGGAGTTGAAACACTTCTGGTGTGTTTTTATGTGCGCAGAACACCTAGGCGTCACAGAGTAGGTCCGCATCCATTTCCCTAATTGTCACAACGCCGCTTTGCTTGTAATATAGGGCCTGGGGCGTATTGTTAGACTCAATGCTGCGACATTAAATACATTGTAAAACCTTTATTACAAAGATCCTTCATGCATCCAGCCCCCCTCTTTTTTTTTTTTTTTTTCTCTCTCTCGTGAAAAGCCGTGAAATGCAACTGCGGGGAATATAACTTAAACCTGGAAAGTTGAGGGCTGCAGGATAAAGAGTTGTATGGCCCATTTAGCATGGAAACTGTTATGCAAATAGGGCAGAGCAGGTACGTGCGAGCGTTCTTTCGCGTAAAGTTTTAATTCTCTTCTTTTACAACCAGAAGGCACAATTTAGTGTTTAATCCAAGCGGCAATCTCTGCTCAATGAAAACGTATGCCGTTTACTAGTGGCACTGTAGAGGTATATACGCATTTCAAGGGCAGATCAAAGGCACGCTCCAGTCCCAACTGAATACAGATGATATGGAGAGACCACCAAAGGTTTCTATGTATTTTAACCACTTCAAGTCTGGACACTTTCACCCCCTTCCTGTCCAGGCCAATTTTCAGCTTTCAATGCTATCACACTTTGAATGACAATTGCGCGGTCATGCAACACTGTACCCATATGAATTTTTTTAGTATTTTTTTGAGACAGATAAAACTTTATTTTGGTGGTATTTATTCACCATTGGGATTTTTTTTTTTGCTATATAAATGAAAAAGTCCAAATATTTTGAAAAAAAGTGCTTTTCTAATAAATAATCTTTCTTCCAGGGGTGGACTGACAACTTATGGGGCCCCGGGCAATAGGGGATCATGGGGCCCCTGTGTCCTTGCCGAAACTCAAAAAAGCCTATGAAAAAGGTACCAGGGGCCCCATGAGTTGGCAGTGCCCGAATTTCCAAATGGTTAGTCCACCCCTGATTTCTTCATAAATATTGGCCAAAATCTATTCCATTAACTTTTTAGTAAAAAAAAAATAACCCAAATTAGTTTATAACCAAAAATTATAATTTTTTAAAATTTTTTGTAATTTTTATTTTATTTTTTTTATATTATTATTTATTTTATTATTATTATTATTATTATTATTATTATTATTTTTATTATTTTACATACTGTCACCCTATCAGTACAGTGTCACCATAGTGACACTGTACTACTTGTGGGGGGTGATAAAGATTTATTTTTCTTTTTTTACAGTGATTGCTTTTACACCCATAAAGGCTGTAAAAGCAATCATTTCTCCTCTCTGGCTGCATGCTTGCAGTCATTGAGAAATACTGTGTGAGCTGTGATTGGTCACAGCTTGTCACATGGTACAAGGCTGTTGTGAATATCCTTGTACCATGTGATCTCTGTGATCATTCACAGATTTCACACATAGTAAGCAATGATGTCAGAAGTGACATCTTGCTTACTACTCTTCATGTGATCACTGATTGGCCAATCAGTGATCACATGATCGGGACCTCACACAGAGGTCCCGTACAATGATCAGTGTTCCTCCGGACACAGCGGGTACCAGAACACGGTGCTGCGCGCTCCCTGGGAGTGCGCACAAGCAGGGAGTGGGGATGATGTTTATAAATGGCCACCCAACCCTGCACTGCTCCGGTCCGGCCGTTTATATACATGGGCCGGACGGGAGGTGGTTAACAGAAACAAAACCTCCTGTGCTCTGGGACTCAAAACAAGGGGGTAGAAAGGTGGAAGGATTCCTTGAAACAGTTCCACAAATGCATGGAAGGTTCTGCTGTACTAAAACAAGGCTGGGTGAAGCCCGACCAAAACTGTAAAGTGAAGCAAAAAGAAAAAAAAAAAAAGATTCGCCCCCAGTTAGACCAATCTCTTCATGGGTTACTGGGAGGCAGGGGCGGACTGACAACTCATGGGGCCCCCGGGCAATAGGGGATCATGGGGCCCCTGTTTCCTTGCCCAAACTCAAAAAAGCCTATGAAAAAAGTACCAGGGGCATCTCATGGGGCCCCCTACTGACCCCGGGCCCTCGGGCAGTGCCCAAGTTTCCAAATGGTCAGTCCGCCCCTGCTGGGGGAGGACCACTTTATTTGGAACAGCAACCCCTTCAGTGAACACCTCATTCTATATGCGAGATATATAGATGATATCTTAATCTTCTGGGACGGCACTGATTCACAGCTGGAAGGGTTCCTAGATCATTGTGGCTAAAAACCCATGATATCTCATTTACCCACATTATTGACGAAGACAAATTAGTCTTCTTAGACCTAGAATTGAGACATGATAGTGGTCAGGGGCGGACTGACAACTCATGGGGCCCCCAGGCAATAGGGGATGATGGGGCCCCTGTGTCCTTGCCCAAACTCAAAAAAGCCTATGAAAAAAGGTACCAGGGGCATCTCATGGGGCCCCCTACTGACCCCGGGCCCTCGGGCAGTGCCCGAGTTTTCAAATGGTCAGTCCGCCCCTGATAGTGGTGGAATGATTTGTTCAAAAATGCACTTTAAACCCACCGCTGGAAACTCCTACTTACATGCTCAAAGCAACCACCATCCACAGTGGATTAAGAATGTTCCATATGGCCAGTTTTGCAGGCTAAGACGCACATGCACCTGAAAACAAGATTATATAGAACAGAGTCTGATCCTTAAGAACACATTTAGAGAAAAAGGGCTACAATGACATGCATATCGAAACAGCCTGTAACCCCCCTGGCGGTATTCCCGAGTGTAGCTCGGGGTAAAGTTTCAGCACCAGAAACGGTAACCCGAGCTACACTCGGACTTACCATCCGGCGTTGCTTCAGGATCTGTTCTTCTCTTACCTTGTCCTGCACTTCCGCGATGTCCCCCCTGCAGTGTCCCCTGTATTGTCCTCCGGCCGATGCCGGCATCTGTCTTCTGGGTTCCGTTCCCTGCGGCGTTGGGACGTACGGGGGCCGGAACGGCGGGAAATTTGAAAATGACAAAAAGTGACATTCACTCAATACACTAAAATCACATAGTATAACATTCCTGTATCAAACCATTTCACATCCATTTTGTCCCGAGTGCTTTGTCCGGCGCCCTGCCTGCATTTTTACTGTTCTTTCTGCCTGGAAACTGAGAAACGTCCATGGCGTCCAAAAAAGCGTCCCTTTAGGTCAAAAGTGGTTTTAGACCGGCTAGAGAACAGCGATAGTAAATCAGAACCACTTGTAGAATTGAGTGATAATGATTCGTGGGGGAAATTCCTCATCAGACACTGAAAACGATTTTGCGACTTTGCTCAGCGATGTGCGAACTTGGCGCTATATTTCAAATGTCAGTGTTTTTGGTTTGATTATATTTTTGAATTAAATTTAATATTATTATATTTTTATGATTATTTATTATATTATAATTTATGATTTCGTGTTTCAAGTTTTATCATACACGGGATGTTTACTAGACTCTTGTTTGGACAGATTTCGGTGAGTTATTCCTAAAAATTACAGGCCTACAATAAAAAAAAATACATATTTCCATGCAAAAAAGGTACAAACCGCTTTGAGCACAGAAATATGGACATAATGGGGTTTATTTACTAAACCTGGTTGACTCAGAATCTTGTCCACTTCTGCATAAAAACCAATCAGCTTCCAGGTTTTATTGCTGAAGCTTAACTGAACATGCTAAGGTTAGAAGCTGATTGGCTACCATGCACAGGTGCCCAAGATTCTGAGTCAACCAGGTTTAGTAAATCAGAAAAACAAAAAAAAACCCCAATCAGACCGCTAGGGAGGTTAAGTCATTCAAAGGAAAGCAAAATCTTCAAACATTTCTCAGTTTTATATAGTGAATGTTTGAGTTTGTAAAGAAGAATACAAACACTGCGATTTATTTGAACCGTCTAATATTCACTTTTCTTCAATTTTTTTAGAGGAACAACACAAATTTGATGTATTTTTCTTCATGTTTTGATTTGGAATAGAATGTGTCGTGTTCCCAATGCATTTGTGTGGATGGAAATAAAAGCTATTAGAAGGATTTTGAGCTTTATTCACTTTTATCAACACACTGCTATTATTTTGAACACAACTGTATATGTTTTTGTTTTTTTTTTTTTCCTCTGTGCATTTTGCTATTTGCCTTGTTGTAAAGTTTGAATTGTTATGGTTTGTGTCACTTTTCATTTATCCCTGTATGGAGGTGGTGCAGGTGTACGATAGCACAGCTGGAATATAAAACAGAATCCAATACTATAATCTATTTAAAAACAATGTAAAGCACGTACATAATCTCCAATCCTCCGAATAACACATTATTATTATTTAATAAAAACCCATTGTGAACACGCTTAAGGTCTCATTACATTACCCATCACCTGTCAGGTCTCACCTACCGCCACCTGAACCAACCAATGAAACAGATTTAAACATAATAACTCATGTTGAACCATACAGCTGGGAAGGTGGACCCATGTATCCCTAATTAACCCTTTTAAAATACAAAATTGATATAAAAGAAAATCTCAAAATATGCATTGCCTCACTACAGAAGTATGAAACAATATCAAAGATATAAACTAGAAAAAAAAAGAAACTATACAAGCTGAATTAAAACTTTTGCTGCCAGAGCAGAGACCCTGAAGAATAAAATGGCGGTAGCTGCAGTCTTTATGGCACCTGATCTCAGTGCAACTGTTTATCAAACCTATACTTTGTTTAAAAAAATTTAGTGCACACAAACACAATATGATACCCATTTTTGGGGTGTAAAGATGATAAAAGATGAGGTTGAGTCCAGTAAATCAAGCCTTAAAACTGGATAAACGCATAAAGTCATGATGGCGCCCCAAAAAATTGAGCTTTAACAGCTCATCAATCATTAATGATGGTCCTTGAATTACTGCTCTCACTCCAGTGCAGGGACGGACTGACCATTTGGGAACTCGGGCACTGCCCGAGGGCCCGGGTCGGTAGGGGGCCCCATGAGATGCCCCTGGTACCTTTCATAGGCTTATTTGGGTGTGGTTTGAGTGTGGGTGTTGACACAGGGGCCCCATGATCCCTTATTGCTCGGGGGCCCCATGAGTTGTCAGTCCGCCCCTGCTCCAGTGTGCACGCCGATATCCGATATGTGTGACATAAATGTTCTTTTTTTCATACCTAGGTGCCCCGAATGCACGTCTACATTCGTATGTGCGTGTATGCAGGGGCGGAGGTTTTAACCCCTCGCCCTCCAGAGGATTTCCCCCCCCCCCCCCTACCTGGCCAGGCTATTTTTTTGCAATACGGCGCTGCGTCACTTTAACTGACAATTGCGCGGTCATGCAACGCTGCTCCCAAGTGAAATTAATGTCCTTTTTTCCCACAAATAGATCTTTCTTTGGCGGTATTTGATCGCCTGGGCGTTTTTTATTTTTTTTGCGCTATAAACAAAAAAAGACCGATAAATTTTGAGAAAAAAACATGTCCAGTAAAAAAATTTTAAAAGCAAATTTTGTCATAAATTGAGGCCAAAATGTATTCTGCTCCATGTCTTTGCTAAAACCCCCCAAAACGTGTAAATTAATTGGTTTATGTGAAAGTTATAGCGTTTACAAATGGCGGTATATATACTGGAATTTTTTTTAACTAGTAATGGTGGCGATCAGTGACTCATAGCGGGACTGTGGCGGGCATTCTGACACTGGGGGGAACTAATTAATCAAATAAACAGCGCAATACCCAACAAATGATACATAAAAAGAAAAATACTAGTATAAAAAATTTAGAAGTGTGTCCAAAATTAATAAATTTTCACATAAAAACTCATAATGTGATTTAAAGTGTCCAAAATTAATGTGTCCACAAAATATCAAAAATCATCAAAAATATATATATAACATGAAACTTTAGCCTTTTTCTTCAACTTCAAAGTGCTTCACCAAAAACGAATACATTTATAATGTGATTATCCTTCTGTAATAAGTGCTTCCACCATCCACCAGTGAGAAACCAACATTAATCGCACTCACCAGATATTGGCGAATAGTAAGCCTTTTATATCTGGTGAGTGCGATTAACATTAGATGTTGCCATGGTTTAATTGCACTTAACATGTAAACATTCACAGTGCAGGGAGGAAAAAGTATGTGAACCTTTGGACTTAATAACTGGTTGGCTCTCCTTTGGCAGCAATAACCTCAACCAAACGTTTCCTGTAGTTGCAGATCAGACCTGCACAACGATCTGGAGTCATTTTGGACCACTCCTCTTCACAAAACTGTTTCAGTGTAGCAATATTCTTGGGATGTCTGGTGTGAATCGCTCTCTTAAGGTCATGCCACAGCATTTCAATCGGTTGAGGTCAGGACTCTGACTGGGCCACTCCAGAAGGCGTATTCTGTGCTGTTGCAGCCATTGTTTTGTTGAATTACTTGTATGCTTTGGGTCATTGTCCTGTTGCATCACCCATCCTCTGCGGTGCTTCAGTTGGCGGACAGATGGTCGTAAATTTTCCTGCAAAATGTCTTGATAAACTCTGGAATTCATTTTCCCATCAATGACAACAATCCGTCCAGGCCCTGAGGCAGCAAAGCAGCCCCAAACCATGATGCTCCCTCCGCCATGTTTTCACAGTGGGGATGAGGTTTTGATGTTGGTGTGCTGTGCCTTTTTTTTTCTCCACACATAGTGTTGTGTGTTCTTCCCAAACAACTCAATCTTGGTTTCATCTGTCCACAGTATATTTTGCCAGTAGTGCTGTGGAACATCCAGGTGCTCTTTTGCAAACTTCAAACGTGCTGCAATATTCTTTTTGGACAGCAATGGCTTCCTCCGTGGTGTCCTCCCATGTACTCCATTCTTGTTTAATGTTTTCCTTATTGTAGATGTGTCAACAAAAATGTTAGCATGTGCCAGAGATTTCTGTAGGTCTTTAGCTGACACTCTGGGATTCTTCTTTACCTCATGCAGCATTCTGCGCTGTGCTCTTGCAGTCATTTTTACAGGACGACCACGCCTAGGGAGAGTAGCAACAGTGCTAAACTTTCTCCTTTTGTAGACAGTCTGTCTTACCGTGGACACATGAACATCAAGGCTTTTGGAGATACTTTTGTAACCCTTTCCAGCTTCATGCAAGTCAACAATTCTTGATCGTAGGTCTTCTGAGAGCTCTTTTCTGCGAGGCATGGTTCACATCAGACAGTGCTTCTTGAAACCAGTAAACCCAAAACAGGTGTGTGTTTTTTAAGGGCAGGACAGCTGTCAGCAACACATCCAATATCATGACACTGATTGGAGTCAAGGTTAGCTCACTCCTGGCTCCAATTAGCTCTGGGAGAAGTCATTAAGCTAGGGCCTCACATACTTTTTTCCTCCCTGCACTGTGAATGTTTACATGTTATGTGCAATTAAACCATGGCAACATCTAATGTTTGTGTAGTATTATTGTTCAGCAGACTGTGTTCTTCTATTGTTGTGACTTAGATGACGTTTCAGAGAACATTTTCTGCCCAATTCATGCAAAACTCCACGTAATCCCAAGGGGTTCACATACTTTTTCTTTGATTTTGCACAGATGTGCCGCTCTGTAGCACTATTTTGGAAGCTATTATGTTAAAACATAATAAAAACAATCAATAACTCTGGCTTTAGAGCATGTACAATCATAGATTATGTACCCTACAGTTTTGGAACATACAGTATATTCAGACAACAAACAGCAAATTTTACAAGCTTTTGCTACAATGTCTTATCACCAATGTGTTTCGATTACTGTATAATCTTCTTAAGTAGAGTATGGAGGTACATACATTCATCGGCCACTTTATTAGGTACACCTGTTCAATTATTTTTATTATTATACAGTATGGTATGGTTGTTGGTGCCAGACGGGCTGGTCTGAGTATTTAGAAAACTGCTGATCTGCTGGGATTTTCATGCACAACCATCTCTAGGGTTTACAGAGAATGGTGTAAAAACAGAGAAAATATCCAGTGAGAGGCAGTTGTGTGGAGGAAAATGCCTTGTTGGTGTCAGAGGTCAGAGGAGAAAGGGCAGACTGGTTGCTGCAATATTCAGATGGTAGGGTCAG